TCTCAAAAAAGAAATACAAATGTCCAACAAATATAGGAAAAATTATTATTCAATATCACTAGCGACAAGGGATATGCAAATCAAAACCACACTGAGATTTCATCTCACACCAGTCCAAATAACAGTCATCATGAACACAACTAATAACAAATCTGGGAGAGGATGTGGAGAAAAAGGAACACTTTTACACAGCTGGTCAGTGTTGTAAATTAGTACAACCATTATGGAAATCAGTATGGAGGTTCCTCAAAAGACCAGGCATGGAACCACCATGTGACCCAGCTATACCTTATATTTATCCTAAAGTATTAAAGTCATTATACTACAGTGATACATGCATACCCACATTTATAGCAGTACAATTCACAATAGCCAAACCACGGAACCAGCCTAGATGTCCATCAATGATGAATGGATAAAGAAAATATAGTATATTATATACACAATGGAGCTTTATTCAGCCATAAAGAAAAATGAAATTATATCATTTTCAGAAAAATAGATGGAACTAGAGACCATTATGTTAAGTGAAATAAGTCAAACTCAGAAAATCAAGGGTCATATGTTTTTCCTCACATGTTGAAGATAAAGAGGAAACACTAAAAGAAAGGTGGAACAGATCTCATGAAAATAAAAGGAGATCATTAGAGAAAAAGGACTAAGGAGTGGAAGGTGGGAAAGAAGAGGGGACATGCTGGGGAATGATATTGGCCACTATATCTTGTTAGATTTTGTGCATGTACAAATATGTGACAACAAATCCCATCATCGTGTATAACTACAATGCACCAATAAAAAATGCAGGGAAAAACAGAAATAAATGTAAATTATCAGACCCGAAACCATATGCAGGAAATCAGAAACTCTGGAGTAAAGCCCAGCAATCTATGCTCTAATAGGCTCTACAAATTATTCTGTTGCTTATCAAAGTTTGGGAGCCACTGTCCTAAGCAAACCATGAGAAATAGATAGTCGAGCTCTACAATTTCTTCACTGGCAGTTACCAAACCTACAGATTTCATGACACAAGGTGGCAAAGAAAATAGTCAACCTTATGCTTACCTTGGAATTTCAAACTTGTTAGTTATTTTTAAGGTAGCCAACCTACTCTGACTATATTTAAGGTGAGCCCTCTCAATTAGCCTACTTGATAGCTATTTACATTTTACTTATATTTCTGTGTCCAAATTTGGCCATTTTTCTACTGCTCCAATAGGAAAACGTCAACATCATTCAGAATGGAAGAATCAAAGGCCAGGTTAAGAACAATAAGCAGAGTGTTAATAAAAACATAGTAAAGCGCTTGCCTAGCATGCATGAGACACTGGGTTCAATTCTCAGTGCTGCATAAAAATAAATAAATAAGAGGAGTATCCATCTACAACTAAAATTATATTTTAAAAAATATATAGTGAGATAAAGTGAATGGAAAAAGAAATGTCTTATGTGCTATGTGCTCTTCACATCTTTTCTTTCCCCCATGCAATCCCCTTTCCAGGTTCCCAACCCCACCACCACCCATCTTGTTCTACACGTGCCCCCAAACTATTTCTAGGTAAGAAAGAGAAGAACATATTTTTTAAAAGGGAGAAATCACATAATTTCAACTGAATACAAGTCGCAACCCCCTGCCTCCTTCCAAAAGGCAGACTTGGTTCTACAATTGGGTTAGGGGATACTGAAGATCTTTCCCACCCTGTAACACCAAAATCCCCTTCATACAAGGTGGGCCAGTGTGGAGGTTCAGAGCAGGGACTCTGGAGTAAGACAACATACAACACAACCCCAGGTCTTTACTCAATATCCGAGAGAACTTGGGTACATTATTTTACCTGTGTTTGAGTCGCCATATTTGTAAAATGAGAGTAACAGAGGTAACTCCCTCACAGAATTCTTAATGAAGATTAAATGAGATCATCCATGTAGAGCATTTAGAACTGTGCCTGGTGTGCATCAGGGCTGGATTAATGTGAGTTATTAAGATTATTATTATATTGCCTCTGAAATGCCTCTCAGCCTTCAGCAGCATCTTGAGCATTTCCAGGCATAGCAACAAAGCACTAAAAATCTTAGAAGAGATGGAGGTAACCTTGTGAGGGTGGCTAGGTTGGAAACCTGGAAAGGCAGTGAAGAACACAGCAGTTCTTTTATTGTAAGATCCTTCTGCAGGAGGCTATGAGACTTTGCTTGATTTATCACAGTGATTTTCATCTGGAATAGGGGGCTCTGTCCCTCCATGCAGGCATGTAGCAATGCCTGGAAATGTTTTGTTATCAAAATGAAGGGTTGTAACTGGTATCTAATAGGTACCAGGATGTTGCTGAACATCCTACAATGCATAGGACAGTCCCTCACATCAAAGAATTACCTAGCCCCAAATGTCAATGGTACCAAGGCTTTACAATCCTGAATTACAACATAATGTGAAGTTATCTTCATGAGGAAGACTCTGACATTTCCTGGGAGGTGAGAATGGGTGGTCTCTAAAACTCCTCTAACTCCATCTGGATGTATTCGGTTAACCCTCACCTCAAACTTCAGTCAATGGTGCATTTCATTCTTTTCTCCTTTATCTGCATAGTTTCCCTAAAGACAAACTGATTTCTTTTGATGGGTAAATACCAGAAGGTAAACATATGGCCTTAGGTGCAAATTCTTGCTAATGCAAAAATATCAATGACAATCAGAGAATTTTAGAGTTGACAGGATCTTAAGAAATGATCTAGTAGCCAGGCATGGTGGCTCATGCCTGAAATCCCAGCCACTTAGGAGTCTCAGGTATGAAGATCAAGAGTTCAAAGCCAGCCTCAGCAACTTAGCAAAGCCCTACACAACTTAGTGAAATCTTGTCTCAAAATAAAACATAAAAAAAGACTGGGGATGTGGCTCAGTGGTAAAGTGCCCTGGTGTTAAATCTCCAGTAACAAAAAAACAACAAGCAAACAAACGAACAAAAGCTCTAGTGACTAGGTTCTAGTTGAAATCTTTCATCACTTTTCACAGTTGAAGAAACCGGGCCTTAGAAAGGCTAGAAGGCTTGATCTAGGTCACATTATGCTACAATCATTAAAAGGTCCAGATTCTTCCAAAGAACAGATTTAACTTTTAGTCCTAGATAATCTCAAGGATCTTTTCACTCATTTCTTTTCCTGGAATTTTTTCCCCATACCTTAATTATAGTCTGTATCTCTGGACATCCCTAAACATAGGTCTCCCCTAATAAGGAAGTGGCCGTGAGACCAAAGAGGGGGATTTTAAATTCAAGAGGTATTGAGGGACCACAGACAAAACTTGCCTATAGATTAAGCTGTGGCAGCTACTGATGAACAAGAAGGAGATATTAAAGGTTGCTCTGGTTTCCAGCCTGGGTGACTCGGAGGGGTGTATTCAACAACAGATGGAAAAATCAGGAGGCAATGTGGTGTAGCAGGCTGCTGCTGCTGATTTTCAGGTGTTGTCCTTTAGTCTGTGAAGTTGGGGAGGGAAAGGAGGGATTGAAGGGAACTAGGGAGGTCTAGGCATGTGAGAGTTGAAGAAAACCCATTCAATTAGTTGGCCACAAGGCTGCTGTGGCTGCCAGAAGGAACAGCATCAGGAAGGAAACTCAGATAACTGGGACACTATTGTCCTCGGGTACCTGGGACCCCCATCTGCTCAATGTAGGCTGGGATGAACACTCCTTGAAGCTCCTGCTAGCTTCAGTGTGTTACATGTAGTTCTAGAGTTTAAATGATGATTGTCACTCTACCATATAGTTACAATTAAGATATTTCCCAAAGATAAGGAAGCATTTAGGGTTAGAATGTGTGAAGAAAACAAAAGATTAAAAAATGACTTGAGGATACTGCAATGCCTCTTTGGTTTTTACTATTATTTTTCTGCACTCTTGTATTTCCTAGATGTGCACTGCTCCTCAGAACTCTAGGGTTCTTGTCCCCTCTCTGACGTTTTCCTTGTTTCTAGGGCACCACATTCATCACTGGTGTCCTATTCTGTCACCAGCTGTGCTCACCAGCAGCACACAGCAACTTCTCCCTCTGTCATTTATGCTGAAGTTTCACTGGGGGATCAAGCAAACATCACTACTACAGGCCAGGGTCACCTGCAGTTTTATGACCCAGAGAGTCCATTCCAGCAGTATGAAGACAGAGAAGGCAAACATCAGTGTCCTTCCATTAAAAGCCACCCTTGATCCATGCCAAACCTGCACCCTAAGGAACATTTGCATTCATTTTCATGGACCAAGTGGGAAACCAAGACAAGATTTCTCTCTTAACATTGAACTCTAAGGAAGAGGAGCTCATGCCATAACTTCACCTCTGCCAGGCAGCACTTCCCTGTATCAACAGCCACTTCCTCCAAAGGCCACTAACATCATAGTGCCACACACAGGGTAGCAAGCTGAGAGGAAAAGCTTCTGAAATTGGTTTGGGGATTCTGTAAATGACAGCTGCAGGATGGTCGCTAGTACTGGAAGTGACTGTGAAAAGCTTCATGCAGCAAAGCGTGCAGCGTGCCCATACACTGGGTGCCACTTACACACATATGCTCAAGACACACGTATTTTGTTTCTCTTTCACACACATACACACAGCACACTCGTGGTTACACGTTCAGGACCATCCATAGAGTACACACAGCATCTAGTTACAAACAGCTATGGATGCACAGCCCAGCCTGTCTGTCGTTCTCTCTCTCTCCTCTTTACACACACAATCTCCTAGTCAGTGAACACACATTCAGTTTTACAAGTACTTACCTACAGGAGTGCAGAGCAACAGCCACAAACCTGCAGTGGTCCGGCTCTGGGGAGGCGTCCTACACAACCAGCAGTCCACCTACACCATGCGCCGCCACGCAGCCCATCCCTGCGGCAAAGCCAGGGCTCGGAGTCCAGAGCCCCGAAGCCCCCAGCCCATGGTGCCGCCCCGCCCCCTCGGCGTCCCCATCAGCACACGTGGGCTCTCGGGGTCTTGATCCCGGGCGCACCTAGCACTTACCCGCTGCCTGAGGCGAGGGAGTGAGGCGCCCTGGCAGATCCGAGCGGCCACCCCGAGGGAGTGCGGAGCCGAGCTGCTGCCGCCTCTGCCGCCGCTGCCGCTGCCGTCGCCACTGCGCTCCTAGCCGCTGCCTGCGCCCTCCCCGCCGCCCCCTCGGGTGCCGGCTCCGGCCCCCGCGTTGGGGGCCGGCGGGCGCCAGGAGCAGACGCGAGCTGCGGGCTCAAGACCCCAGCCCTGGCTCACCTGGGCGCGCAGAGCATCGTCGTCGTCCTGGCTGAGCTGGGCTCCGCCAACCCAACAGCCCCCAGTCGGGCGATCTCTTCTGCCCTGCCTGCTGCCGCCTCCACCAGGAACTCGGGGCAAGCCCGGCAGCCAGGCGCACAGAGCAGTGGGCACAGAGGCGGGCTGGGGAGATCTCACCTACTCTGTGATGGCCCAAATGTGCTGTCCCTAACCAAAGCATTGCCCATTCTGTGGAGGCATGGTGCGAGTCCTGGCCTCATTGCAGGTTCCTGGGTGACCTTGGGCAAGTTGGTGAACCTCTCTGAGTGCCTGCTTCCTCTATTCAAAGATAATAAACATGAAAGCTTTTGTGGTGTTCCGGCCAGGGGAAACCCTACCCCTGTATAGCTTACTTCCTTCTCATTCCTTCTCTGGAATAACCCTTCTCAGGGCAGGGTTAGTTTGGGGATCAGGGTTCAGAGTAAGCTTGGGAGCACCTTGGGAGCACTAAGATTCCCGAGTTCTCCAGCGGTAATGTGTTCATTTGCCTGCAGCCTTACTAAGTGACCCTGCCCTTGTTAGTCCACTCTTTGCTTCTCTGGTCCCAAGTTAGCCTGTTCTCCTTGCTTTGACCACCTGTGACCTTGAGCGTAGGACTAGAATGAAGCTAAGTCTCAAAGCATTCATCTGTAAGAGGCACATGTAAACCCTCCTTTGTATTGAGGCTTACCAAAACTCCTGCCTGCCTGCTGCTTGGCAGGTACAGTAGCTGCAACAGAGTGAAATCATTTTTCCTCAGCACATCCGACAAAGGCTCCAAATTCCATGGATAAAACAGTCTGTGTTAAAGGAGTCACGCTGGGAGAAGCTGAACCTCCTTCACTCAGGTGAGGGGCCTGGGGGCCTGCTGGATGAATATTTCACCCCCTCAAAGGACCACTGAGGGTGCCTGCAAGCCTGGCACAAGGGAGAGCTGTGGACAGTGATTAACCTCAGAAAGCAAATAAATCTTCCAAGACGATCTTAAAAATGATTAACTTAAAATTGTGAGCACAACTCAGGTGAACCAGAAATTTAAATTGACCCACCCGTTCGTGCCAGAAATCTCTCGACTGTCTTTTTCTAGGTTTCTCTCTCTGTTGTAGTTCTGGTTCTCACTCCCCTTCCTCGCAGCCTATGTCTCTTTCTCATTTTACTCTTCCACTTTTTCTCTTTCCCTCCACTCTCTTCACATCTCATTCTATGTACCTCTTCTTTACCTTCATTGTGCCCTTCTTTCTTGACACCTCTAAGCTCTCAGCCATTCCCAAATATTACTTCTCTCCCTGGTATATTTAGGGCCTGAATCTGTATTCCTGTCATGCCTGCTATACAAAACTTAAAAGTTTATCTAATGATAATAAGATCCAAACTTAAATTTGCCACTACTCCACTTGTCTAAACCAAATTCTACTGACACCTTTGGCCTCACACACATAAATGCTCAGGGACTGAATGACAGCTCCATTTCTATGCCCCTTCTCCTCACTCTCTACTAGACACTTGCCAGTCCCCCAGGAGGTGATCTCCACTCTGCCATATGCATTTGCCTCTTCCTTCTTATTCTCACTGAGCCTAATCCTGATTTTTCTGGAATCACTAAAATTCTTCTAACTGTTCTTTCCCTCTCAGTGATATCACTATAGTCTTCCTCAGGCAGAACCCCAATATTGTCACTCTCTTGCTCTGCAACCTCAATGCCCATGGAAGGTAGAATGACTCCCCAAAGTAATCCATCTTGAGAGTGTGTGGGCATGTTATCTTGCATGGCAAAAGAGACTTTGCAGGTATGAATAAGACACAACCCAATGGGGAGAGTGGGATGGACTACATGAGTGGGCCCTTGAAAAGTCCTTAGAAGTAGAAATGGAAGGCAGAAAAGGAGGTTGGAATGACAGGACATGAGAGAAACTTGACCAGCTGTTGCTGGCTTTGACAACAGAAAAAGGGGCCATGAGCCAAAGAACACAGATAGTTTCTGGAAGCTCAGGGAGGCAAGGAAACAGATTTTCCCCTAAAGCCTCCAGAAAGGAATGCAGCCCTGCAGACACATTGATTCTGACATAATGAAGTCCATGTCAGAGTTCTAATCTAGAGGATTGTGAGATAATAAGTTGGTGTTGTTTTAAGCCACCAAGTAATTTGTGGTAGCAGCCATAACTCATACTTCACTGCTCTTTAACTAATGGAGTTAAACACTAATGCCTTATCTTGTTATTGACAGTGATTCAGTAGCCCAGATTTGCCAGTGTGTTATGCCCAAACTTTTTGTTTCAGGTGATCTGTTCTCTAAACACCTCTTTTCTCCTCTGTGCCAATGCTCATGATGCCCTCTCCTGCAAAGCTCCCCTGTAGTAATGCTAACCCCATCACTTATCAATTCCCATAAACTCTTTGGAAGTTTTCCCAATCTCTTCTTTCTGCAGTTCTCTGGAAGCCTTTGTTTGTGTATCTTGAGGTGAATCTCATATTCCCACTTTAGACTTTAACGGTGCTGGTCAAAGGTGCTCCTGGCTCTCTGTCCTCAAAATGCTGTTCATATCTCCACTGTGGCAGTGACTACCACATTTCAACATTTTCAAGTTCGTGTCCCACTAGATTGTGTCCCATCAGGTCTTACCTCCTTTCATAACCACAGTGCCTAGAACTATGCCAGGCACACAGTTGGGTTTCCGTGGGATTTTTTTTTTAAATTTGTTCTAATTAGTTATACATGACAGTAGAATGCATTTTGACATATCATAAATAGATGGAGTATAATTTCTCATTCTTCTGGTTGTAGATGATAGTTTATCTAATGATATAGTCATATATGTCCACAGGGATCACAGGGATTCAGATTCACTCTACTATCCTTCCTATCCATAAGTGGTTTTTTTTTTTGTTTGTTTTTTTTTTTGAAAAACAGGTTGAAGAGAGCAGATGTGGTGTCTGTTTGAATAGACAGGACTACTAATAAATTTTTCTTAAACTGTCTGGTTTTTTTTTTAGTTGAAACTGGTCAACTGAAGCACCTCAGTTAATACAATGTGGTTTTATACCTGCCTGCTTCAATGAATACCTTGAAACACAGACTTCTGTTTGTTTTGTTTTCTCTGAAGAAGAGACTCACAATAAAAAGACTATTCATATTTTATATATGCTTTATAAGAGGGCCATTCTTGTGAGTAAAAATATTGTAAATTTGCTGACTCCCCAGCCCAACTATTCTACTTCTCAAAATGTATCAGAGGGTAATAAGCATGTATATTAAAGGATTAAACTAAAACTGTTCATGCAGGGCCTTTTATAAGGGTGAACAATTGGAAAGAGCCTAAATGCCTAACAATAAGGGATTAGCTAGGTAAACCACACTACCCCTCCCAGAAGATCCCACTCAGATATCGTACATGATATTTTTGATTGACATTTATTATACAGAATGATGCTTGTGAATGTTTAAATTTCCTTTTATGCTTATTGGAATTTTAACTACATAAAATAGGCATATATTTAAAATTGTTTATAAATATTTTTAAACAACAGCTTTGCCTCCAGAAAGAGAAATAAAAATTTACTATTTATCCTAGTTCCAAGAAAACCCATCTACAGATGAGATTCCACTCTCTAATGAAGACTAAAGAAAGGGAAAGTCACAAAAGAAATAGAATCTGGGCCATCTTCATTCCATTACCTCATTCACTATATGATCAATTATTATCTCAATGAAGACCTTTGATAGAAAACAACAAAAATGAACTCTAGCTAACTTAAGGGAAAATAAATTATTGAACTGATACTAGAGGCTCACAGAACCACTGAAATGCCAGAACAGAGACTTGGAGAAGGAGGTGTCAGGAGCTCCAGAGAATCAAAAGAGCAGACAGTGCAGCAACTGGACACACACAAGCTCAAAGGAAACACCTCACCCTATCACTCCCAGAACTGGGGGATGGCCTCACCAGTCCTCTGTGCTTGGATAGGTCACTTACCCAAGTTCAAGGTCCCTGGAGAACACACCAGATGGCCAGAGCTAGTATGTGTCTTCCCTTCCCTCATTCTGAGCTAGAGATTGAAAAGGGAGGGGACCTGCTCTGACCACCAAGAATATACACAATGGAGGACATTATACTTCCCCAGTCAATTTGAGGTGCTGTTAGGAAGGTAGAATGGAAACTGTCAACCTCAAAAGAATGAAGGCCCAGTAGCCATCCCTGTGATGATCTAGGCACTGTGCTGCCAGACTTTCAGACCACTGAGCAGCCAGAAACAGCACTCAGGGAGATGGAATTCCTTCATTTTATTATTTTGTTTATAAACTTGAACATGCTAAGTCTTCCTATCAATAATTTCTTCTAGTCTGCCAAAACAAATACTGATTTTCTGTTTTGGTTGTCCACACGCTTAGCTGGTACAGATATCTTGTCATGTACTTACTAAATACCAGCCTGCCAAACACACCAAAGCATGTTATCTGTACCTACCATGGGCTATCTTAAAGTCTCAGACTTTATATTAAGCTAATTTTATTTAGGAGCCTTAGTTAGAGAATAGAGTTCTCTCTCTCTCTTTCTCTCTCTCTATGTGTGTGTGTGTGTGTATGTGTGTGTGAGGAGGGAGGCAAAGAACAAAGAGAAAGGAACAAATAAGATGGAAATTAAATTCCAAATCTAAATTACTGAAATAAATTAATGCTTCCTTGAACTCACAAGCTTGAAGCCTGCATACCTTCCATCCACTTAAGAGCTGCTAAAAATTTAAACAGCTGGACAGAGTTTTAATGCAGCTGCAAGGGAACAGAAACCAAACTGCTAATATATTTCCTATAATAAAGTCAGGATGGATGGCTTAT